CTTTTTCATTCAAAAGAAATGTGCTACAATTAACAGAATGGAAGAAAGAGGAAATATAAATGATATTTATAGATATGCTTTTAATTATATCTAAAAAAAAAGTGGGTTTTTTCCACTTTTATTTCTAAGAATAATATTCTGTGTTTCTCAGAAAACTATCTTCTTCTTATCTGCTTTCTTATTTACACACTTGATAACAGTAACTATTTAAAACATGCTGTGGTGAAATTTCTCATTCAGTACTTTTGTCTGAAGATGGTAACAACGCTGTTACCGAAACGTTACACACTATTTATTTATTTGGATTTGGTCTTATTACCTTGTATTTTTTCATGTAGATTTTAATGGCATACTTTATTTTTTAATATTTTAATTATTTAATATTGGAGTGACCCTTGTATATATGACAAGATACAATTGAGAAGAACAGAGAGAGGCTTACAACTACTAGAGGAGGCTTAGATAAACCTGGAGAGAAAAGACAGCAAAAGATGTGGAAGATGTTCATGAAAGGTATCCAACAAGTCAATGGGGCAGAAACTTCAGTTCAAATATATAGAAGAATGAAAAAATTGTTGTTGTCAGATAAACCTTCCAAAATACACATATCTAATTAAGAAACCAGAATAAGACAAATGATCATTTCATAAAGCCTGGGCATAGGAGGCCATTATATCACATCTACAATGCAGGGCTGCAACACCTAGGTGACCCATGTTGTTGCAATCTCCTCAGTGTAAATGAAAATTTCTGGAAATAAATCATATTACTTCCATAAAGATTAATGATATCTCTTCTACAGAGATGAAAAGAAGTTAGACAGAGATTGGTTTGTGTTAAATGGACAGATTTACTTCTCAGTGTGGTCATGATATAAATGTGTAGAAAATATGGCTAACAATTCAGATCCAAAAATTAAATACCAGAAATTCTAATAAGCATGAAAAAAGAAAGAATTGTCATCTTTTGGATAAAGAAGAGGGACTCCTTTAAAATATTTTGAACTTACTTATTTCTGGATTCCTCTCACTCTCTCTCTCCACATCAATTCTCCTTTTATTTTCATCTATAGAAAATGCATTAAATTACTAAAAAACTTACATCCAGTTGACGATGAAGGGCTGCAGATGACTGGTCTGTAGGACACTTGACATATCCATTGACAGCGGTCACCAAGGATTTCAGGACACTGTTGTCAAATTGGGCCATGGCTGCAAACAAAAATGTAACTTTTATACAAGATAAATATCATCCTTAAAATATATCACACACATAAACCCCAAATACAACAACAACAAAGTCTTTGTTAGGGCCAACACCCCACTTTGGATATTCCCAATTGAATATAAATATTTTTACATTTATATAGTCGAACCTCTTTAATTCAACACCCCAAGGGATCCGAGCTTTCAGTTGAATTAAAGTTATTCTGATGATTAGCTAATCATCTAACTTGCTAAAATAATATATTTTTTAAATAGCTTTGTAATATAAATTAATGATATTATTTGAAACCATTGTGCGTGTACTTTTTTGTTTTTATTTTTTATTTTCATGATTAACTTTTAGTATCAGGGACAAAATGGCATTAATACATATTTTTGAAACATAAATAATTACAAATAATATTTTGTTCTAATTGAAGAATATAGCAGTTGAAAGTAAATAAATATGGAAAATAAAAAGAAAATTTAAAAATATTATTTAAAAAGAACCATGAAGATTGATTTTGTGTTTAAATCTTTTATAATAACAAGGAAATGGGATATTGAAATAAAATGTTATCATAATCATTGTGGCTACATTTTATAAGAATTATTTATTTAAAAGCAAATTATTTGAGAATTTTAAAATAACTAAAATATCTCAATGCTGAAATTTTAAAAGAAAATAATATTATTAATTTGTGCACGATGCCTAAATTCTTGCATAAAAAAAAAAATAATAATAACACTCGCGACATTGCGCAATGGCACTGCAAAGTGAAACTTAAAAAGAAACCAAAAGTGCGCAGGCGCGATCCTATCGGCGCCCGCCGATCGTCGCCGCTTGCCGTCGTCGTAATACCTTTTTAGCGGTAAAGTTGTATGTAAAAAAACATCCAACTGTCGAAATTCGAATTTTAAAATGGTCGAACTATTGGAAGTGTCGTATTATCGATATTGTCGAATTACGGTTTGTTATTTGATAGGCCGGAGGTCGGGACATCTAAACATGGTCAAATTATCATATAGTTTCGAATTGCCGTGTGTCGAAATAAGGAGGTTCTACTGTATTACAAGGAAGTGTTGAATTAAAGTTATTCAGATGATTAGCTAATCATCTAATTCTGCTGAAATAATATTTTTTTAAAATAGCTTTGTAATATAAATTGATGATATTAATTGAAATCATTGTGTTTTTATTTTTGTATTTATTTTTTTTATTTTCATAATTAACTTTTAGTATCAAGGATTAAATGTCATTATTAAATATTTTTGAAACATAAATAAATATGGAGAATAAAAAGAAAATTTGAAAATATTATTTAAAAAGAATCATGAAGATTGATTTTGTGTTTAAATCTTTTATAATAACAAGGAAATGGAATATTGAAATAAAATGTTATCACAATTATTGTGGCTACATTTTATAAGAATTATTTATTTAAAAGGAAATTATTTGTGATTTTAAAATAACCAAAATATTTCAATGCTGAAAATTAAAAAGAAAATAGTATTATTAATTAGGGAACGATGCCTAAATTCCCACGTAAAAAAAAAACAATAACACTCGCGACATTGTGCAACGGCACTGCAAAATGAAACTTAAACTAACAAAAACCAAAAGTGCGCAGGCCCGATCTTATCGCCGATCGTCGCCTCTTACCGCCGCTGTAATACCTTTTTAGCGTTAAAGTTGTATGTAAAAAAACGTTCAACTGTCGAAATTTGGATTTTAAAATGGTCGAACTATCGGAAGTGTCGTATTATCGATACTGTCGAATTACGGTTTGTTATTTGATAGGCCGGAGGTCGGGTCATCTAAAGATGGTCGAATTATAGTATAGTGTCGAATTGGTGTGTGTCGAATTAAAGAGGTTCTACTGCAGTAGAAGTGCCATAGAATAGCAATACAGAAGTAAAACATAAACCACAGGCAAAAAGTGTGTGATGGCAAAAATTGCAACATACGCACCAACGACCGCAAGTCTCTCTTATGCCAACACATCACAGAATTTCACCACTCGTTCAATTTGGACAGCGCTGTATGCGTTTACAAGGGCGTCGGGAACAAGTATCAGCACCTAGTCCTTGAATCTTTGGTCTCGCACTGCACGCCCAGTTTCAACCGAAAAATCGACCTCCCACCCCAATACTCCGTGTTTTACCTCGCCGATCCCCCCAGCTGAACTGTTTACCTACTTCATTTGGCTATCTTTCATGTCCATAGTTTTAAAATAATGCCAAGTTGTAACCTGAAGAAGGGCATTCTTGCCTGAAAGCTTGTTTTTTACTATTAAAAGAAAAGCACCACGTTTTTATCGCCTTCATTTCAAAAATTAGTATTTAAGTATTTTATTTAATTATTTTTTGCGATCCAATTAGTTTTTTCAAAATCAATATAGTTTAAATAGATGGCAGCTTTTCCACCCAACCCCCAAGGTACCCGCCCCAGCACATTAACCCTTGAAATTGCCTGAGTTGAATGAGTTACTGCGATGCCCATCTTCTCCGTAAGAATAGGAAAAAATAGGTTTATAAAAAAAATTAATCCAAAATACTGGCATGTAAATATTTTTCTGTAAAAAAATAAAAGAGCACATGGAAATTAGGCAAACATATTATGCTAATGACTGAGACTGCCTTTTAAACGATTTTTTTTTTTAATTAATAAAAAATACGAAAGCCATTATTTACATACAGAAACGCTAATTTTGTAAAGTTTTTTTTAAATTGCATTGTGTGCACTTAACGTAACTTAGTGATATAAATTTCTCTCTCAATACTCAATACTTTTGTAAAAAAAGTAACACTCGTATAAACAGATATTTCAAAAAAAGTACGCAAGCAACTTGAAAAAAAAATGTAGAACGCTCATTGGTCGCTTAATTGGCCTGGTGTTGTTACTTCGCTTCGTATTTACTCCGCGTAAAAAAAAGTTCATCAAATGAAAAAAATAAATAGCCAAAAATACTAATTAAAATGTAGCCTAAAATTTTCCTCAGGTTTATAAAAAGCGACATGCAAAATTTAGTACCAATTGGTTCAGTAGTTTTTGAGTTTATCGCGAAACAGAAAACAGACATTGGCTTTTATATATAAGAAAGGATATAGAAAAGTCCATGGGTCTAAATTAAAATGAAAAATGTCTAAATTAAAATTTAAATATCTAAATATAAATTTAAAATGTTTTTAAAAAAAAGTTTAAAACTTATATATCTCTATATATATAAAAATGAATGTTTGTATGTCTGTCTGTATGTCCGGTATACAAATTCACAGTAGTTCACTAATTCAAACCAAAATTTCCATACATAGGTTAAAAAATACGGGGAAGACGATAGGCTATTTTAAAAATATATATAAATCAATTATTAAAACTACTAGACGAATGGCCCGGGCAACGCCCGGGTTTTACCCGAGTGCGTATATATTTTAAAAACGTTTTAATTCAAATACTATTCGTTACAATTATGAATTGGCGCCATGGATGTCACTCTTGTGAAACGTCCAATTCCAAACTGTGCGTTTTTAAAATTTTTTAATTAAAATAATATTCATATATTAACTTTATGAACGGAAAAATATGTCCAGGGTAGCCTAGTGGTCATGGCATCTGCCCGGTAAGCGGAAGGTCGTGGGTTCGATTCCCATCCCTTGACACTTTTTTTTATTTCATCCATTCTGACCAAAATCTATCCCTGAACTTCACACAGTGAACTTCACACAGACAGAATAAGGCAATTATATAAGTAGATTATAAAGATAGAAGCTTCTATAGAAAAATAACTAAAATAAGCCAAAATAGCTCAGTTGGGAGAGCGTTAGACTGAAGATCTGAAAGTCCCTGGTTCGATCCCGGGTTTCGGCATCTTTTTTTAATTTTTACTTAACATAACTTGACACGTGACCAAAATCTATCCGTGAACTTCACACAGTGAACTTCACACAGACAGAATAAGGCAATTATATAAGTAGATAATAATAATAATTATTATTATCATTAGATAATGATAATGATCATAATGATGATGCGCGCGTTGATGACCAAAATCTATCCGTGAACTTCAGACAGTGAACTTCACACAGACAGAATAAGGCAATTATATAAGTAGATATATTTTTATTCAGAAAATGATGATGACGATATTGCTGTATCATGTTTGATTATCTGATACAAAATTATATCGGGAAAAAATTCCAAAAAGCAGAGACCACGGGTGAAACCAGTTCATTATTTTGTACGCAGGAACAAAATTCTAACAGAAAAACATTCATTCGAGCAAAAACAAAAGCTAGATCATCTTTCTATAAAAATATCGCTTCTCAGACACAAAGTTTGGAGCGGGACGTTTCACAAGAGTGACATCCACGGCGCCAATTTATAATTGAAACGAATAGTATTTGAATAAAAACATTTAATCGGATAAAACTAGGGCGTTGCCCGGGTCATTCGGCTAGTAGATTTATATATATAAACGTATTTATTGTTATTTAAATATATTTTTAAAACACATTTAATTTTTTGAAAACATTTATTAAATTTTAAATAAACTATAAGATTTGAAAATAGAGCAATCCATAAATAAATCTTTAATTAAAAAGGCAAATATTGGATAAATGACCTTTTGATAATTTGATATTTTGATCCAATATATGCCTTTTTAATTGAAAACTATTATATTTTCTTTTGCGAAATTAGGCAAATAAAGAATATATAGAAAATGTGTCTAAATTAAAATTGAAAAATCTAATTTAAAATGTAGAAAATTTGCAAATAAAATTGTGACGAATATTTATTTCAAATCAAATTCAAACCAAAAGCCTTCCCAGTAGTATAGTAAACAACTTCCCAAAGTTTCACGGCGATTGGATGTATGGTTTTGAATCAATCGAGTACAGACAGACATTCAATTTTATATATATATCGATTTAAAGCTAATATTTTAAACAATAATAAACAAATGTATTTATTTACAAAAAGGAGAAATATTTCTAACATAAATTAAACTTTATTTTTTAGCATGCAACTCATGGGTAAGCCTCGTTGAGTGCGCCCTCACGCATGCGCCTCTGATACATCTGTATAAAATGAATGTATGACAGTTCAGCAGTTCTTGATGCAGTCAAACGGGATAAAACGTATCCTATGCCCGTCTGCTGGTTCTAAGCAACCTCCCCACCAATTTTCATCAAAATCGGTTCAGCCGTTCTTGAGTTATAAATAGTGTAACAATTTTCACGACTTTCTTTTATATATATAGATTTATTATGAGTACACTTCAATATTGTGGTGCTCAGCAATTCCTTCTTTCCATTAACCGATTTGAAGAAGTTATATATAAAAGTATGAGATGCAGGATATGTCCTTAGTTAATTTATATATCGCAGAATATATATATTGACAATGAAAACTTGGTGATTCCAGAGTAAAAATCTTATTTCTTCCTATTTTGTTCTATCTTTTGTCATATAGTGTTCTAGTTCATTAGTAATCTTCACTTTACAGAAAGCACATGCCAAGTCATTTTCTCCTAAGCTTTTGGCATGATTTTCTAGGAAAAAATTGAAGATATTCCCAAATGGGTAATGAATCATTTAACTATAAGTGGTATATACAGTCGAACCTCTCTTTAATTCAACACCTCAAGGGATCAGAGCTTTCGGTTGAATTAAAGGAAGTGTTGAATTAAGGTGAGATGATTAGGTAATCATCTAACTCGCTAAAATAATATTTTTTAAAAATAGCCTTGTAATATAAATTAATGATATTAATTGAAACCATTGTGTGTTTTTATTTTATTTTCATGATTAACTTTTAGTATCAGGGACAAAATGGCATTAATACATATTTTAGAAACATAAATAATTGTAACAAATAAATTTACTGGCAATGTGTTTCTTTTCAGTAATATAATCAAATATTAACTCTACAGACATTAAAATATTAAATATAATATATTAAATAATATTTTATTCTAATTGAAAAATATAGCAGTTGAAAGGAAATAAATATGGTAAATATAAAAAGAAAATTTTAAAATATTATTTAAAAATTATCATGAAGAGATCTTTTAAAAAATTCCTTTATAGATGTCTGTTTTTGCACTGAAATCCTATTCAGTATTTATTCCAGATGGTCATTTTGAAAAAACATGCATGTCTTTCTTCTTCTGAAATGTCTTTTAATAAATAAATTTTAATGTATTAAAGTCATCCACTGCTGCTGCAGGTGTTATTGATTTTGTGTTTAAATCTTTTATAATAACAAAGAAATGGAATATTGAAATAAAATGTTATCATAATCATTGTGGCTACATTTTATAAAGATTTATTTATTTAAAAAGAAATTATTTATAAATTTAAAAATAGCTAAAATATTTCAATGTTAAAAATAAAAAAATAAAAATTATTATTAGTTGGCGCATGATGCCGAAATTCCAGCGTAAAAAAAAAAAACAATAACATCCGCGAAATTGCGCAACGGCACTGCAAAGTGAAACTTAAACTAACCAGAAACCAAAAGTGCGCAGGCGCGATCGTATCGGCGCCCGCCGATGCCGATCGTCGCCGCCGTAATACCGTTTAGCGGTAAAGTTGCATGCAAAATAATATTCAACTGTCGAAATTCGAATTTTAAAATGGTCGAACTATCGGAACTGTCGTATTATCGATTGTGTCAAATTACGGTTTGTTATTTGATAGGCCGGAGGTCGGGACATCGGAACATGGTCGAATTATCGCCGAGTGTCGAATTGGGGTGTGTCGAATTAACGAGGTTATACTGTAAATGATTAAGGAATCCCTGTTGCCTATACAGTATAACCTCTTTAATTCGACACACGCCAATTCGACACTGATGTCCCGACCTCTGGCCTATCAAATAACAAACCGTAATTTGACACAATCGATAATACGACACTTCCAATAGTTCGACCCTTTTAAAATTCAAATTTTGACAGTTGAATGCTTTTTTACATACAACTTTACCGCTAAAAAGGTATTACAGTGGCGGCAAGAGGCGACGATTGGCGGGCGCCGATAGAATCACGCCTGCCCATTTTTGGTTTCTGTTTAGTTTAAGTTTCACTTTACAATGTCGCAAGTGTTATTGTTTTTTTTACGCGGGAATTTAGGCATTGTGCGCTAATTAATAATATAATATTTTCAACATTGAAATATTTTAGTTATTTTATATTTACAAATAATGTTTCATTTTATAAAATGTGACCACGATGATTATGATAACATTTTATTTCAATATTCCATTTCCATGTTATTATAAAAGATTTAAACACAAAATCAATAACACCTGCAGCAGCAGTAGATGCCTTTATTACAATAAAACTCTTTGTTATTTAACCCTTGAGTACTCGCGCGGGGTCTGATAGACCCCAGACACACTTATTTCATTAAATATCTAGAATTCTATAAAACATTTGGAGATCAAAACTTTAGTAGCTTAATTTTATATGACAATGAATATGTAAACATATATTAACTTAATTTTTTTGCGCTATAATAGTCAATAATATGGAGCTGGGGTCCATTGGACCCCTCGAGAGTAATAACGTAATTTTATTTTTTAAGCATGGTGAAATAAGTAAGCTGCCTTATAGCTCGGCAACACTTTATATCTTTTTTCTATGACCTTATTTAGTTTTTTAGAAACAATGAATAAAATAAAAATGAAAATTACACACAATTTTTGCTACAAAAGCTACGTTCAACTCACTCTTCCATTTTTGGTTTCAAGGAAGGAGAGAGTACACTGGTTTCATATGTACCACAAAAAAGTCCAAAGCAGGTATTTCAATTTCAATCATGGACTACACAAAACAAATAGATCCTGAATATAGTGGAAAATATTGTAATGAAACAAAATCAGATGTAGTTGATCAATTGTGTAAAATTACACGGTAAGTAGGAGGACAAGGAGATGGCCATTGTGCCTCCTTATATTTCATCAATGTTTCAAAAGAAGTTATATATAAAATGAACAAAAATTAAAAAATAATAAGAAGAAAATCGTTTTTTAAGAGATAGCAATTCGGCTAATTGATCCAAATCTAGAAAAAAGGGAAAATAAATGTTTTCCACTAAAAGATATACCAAAAACATATCTACACATTCTTCTACAGATTAGCCACAACAAGTAAGTCCTAAAATGTTATAGCTAATTGACAGATATATATATAAAGTTCTTGTGTTTCTTCAGGAGGAAAATCAGCCAGGGTCATCATCAGCAAAATGAAAGCGTTGCCAATTTTGTGATCGCTTCAAAACCGAAAATCCAAAATTATATATGCTAAATGCGCTAAACATATTTATACTGAACACGCAAAAACACTTTACAAGAAGTGTGCACGAAAATAATTTATATTTTCATTCATATTTTTAAGGAAATTGTTCGTATATATTGATAGTTTAGATTTTTTGCCATATTATTTTTATAATTTATTGATATATTTGTAAAGTAGAGACCGTATTCTTTCGGATGCAAGCAAAAATTATATCAATATTTTATTTTTAAAGTATTTTATTCATTATAGAATATTGGGGTCTGCTAGACCCCGCGCGAGTACTAACGTCAGTAAAATTGGCGTGAGTAACTAAGGGTTAAAAGACATTTCAGAGGAAGAAAATAGACCATCTGGAATACATCCTGAATAGGATTTCAGTGCGAAAACACATCTATAAGGGAATTTTTTAAAAGATCATGATTCTTTTTGATTAATATTTTTAAATTTTCTTTTTATTTTCTATATTTATTTCCTTTCAACTGCTATATTCTTTTTAGAATAAAATATTATTTTTAATTATTTATGTTTCAAAAATATGTATTAATGCCATTTTGTCCCTGATACTAAA